ACACAGAGTTTGTGGCAGCCACATTGCACAGTGCAGTCTGCCTGGAGGAGCAGAACCTCATGGCGGCGTTCAAGGTGCGCGGCTGCGCCAGACCCGGGCCGGCGGCCACGGGCCGGATTGGGCTGAGCCGGGCCGGGCCGCCCCTGGGCAGCAGTCGTGCGCGTGCGGGGGCATGCCCACTGCGAGGCGTTGTGTATTCCGCGGCATGCGTGCGGGCGTCAGCGTGGACCTCTCTCCATTCGGAAACCGCCTGCGCCCACAAACACCCAGCAAACCTGCCCTCCTGGGCTGCTCTTCCCCAGGTGGTAACCCCCGTGTCCCCTCATCGTTAAACGCACACCTCAACAACACCGTGACGGGTGTTGGTCATCCAAAAAAAACCCCAAAACACACACCTGCTCATCTTCCACAACACGCAGTACTTTGATCTGGACGGCGACGGCCACATCACGCGCGCTGAGCTGGAGCAGGTGCTGGCCTCAAAGGGTGACCTGGGGGACGCCGCTGACATCATCAAAGCGGTTGACCAGGACGGGGACGGCACAGTTGACTATGCAGAGGTGATGGGATGAGGGACGGGCGGGGGTGATGTTGGGAGCAGGTGGCGGTGGCCGAGGTAAAGTTGTTGTGAGGGTAAGAAGATTGCGGGGCACATGTGTGTATTTGTTTGTGTGTATAGGGGGAGGAGCAGAATGCCACTGCAGGGAGCGTTTGGGCATTGGAGAGCGCTGCGCGTGTGCACGAGTGTGTTATAAGAGGAGGATGACTCCGGGTTGTGCTTGTAGAGCACAAAAGTGATTCGCGCTGTACGCATGTGCGTGCGCCTGTAGCCGCCGCTGGGGCCCCATACGTCACCCCACACCCTCTCCCACGTCCTCGTGCCATCCCTCTCCTAGTTTGTTGAGATGATGTGCTGCAAGGAGCTGGGGTGCGGCCAAGTTGGTGGCGGCCTGGGGGTGGGCGCGGGCTTGTTTGGGATCGGCAGCAGCGAGGGCTGCAACCAGTCTCCAGCGGCGGCGGACGCGGGCGACGACCAGCCTCAGAGACAGCAGCAGCAGCAGCAGCCCCAAGCCCAAGCTGTGGGTGCCTGAGCACGCCGCGCTGCCTGGCGCCGCTGGGTGCTCTGTGCCACCTGCAGCCCTGGCTGGCACAACGTCCCGTGTGCCTGCCCGCGCCAAGCTGACCTGCACACGCAGCATGCGCTCATACCCGACCACAGGCCGCTCGCCTTGTTGGTCGCTCGGACCACCATGCACTTTTTGGTTGCCCTCCTTGCTTCTCCCTTCTTCCCACTTTGCACGCGCACCTCCGTCGCACCGCCTTGAGCCTTCCTCCCTCTTTTGTGTTTTTCTCTCAGCCCTTCACATCCTTGGCAGCGGCATTTGCAAAGCCTTTGGCATGCGTGGCCCAGCATGCTGCGCAAGTCTTTACAGCATTTGAACCGCGCATCTCCTTTGTGGTCAACCTCCCTCGCCAAATCCACGACCATTGCTGCTTGGCTGCAGCCGCGGCAGTGCACTTGCGGGTCGGTCCATCATCTCCCTTGAAAGCTCAACATCATCAAAGAATTGTGGTAACAGTTGATGAGATGGAGGACTCCGACAGCCAAGGTGGCCGCCGCTTGCAAATATGGGTTCAGGGTTGTGGCAGCTTCGCGCCACGTGGCACTGCTGAACATGCAATACAACCCATATTAACCAAGGATGTAAAGAGCAAACACATGTCCAAAATTCCAACGGGGATCTTCGCGCGTCATGCCGTGTGCTTTCTATTCAATGTCAGCGGCGATGGTCAACCCCGCTTGCATCGCGGGCGGACGGCGCTCAAATGGGAGCCACTTCAGCACGAGCGTAACTCATCTTTGACACGATTACTGGTAGCAGAGAGCGGCCAACGGGTTTGCCACGTTCGAGTGCGAGCGTGTCGCGTCGGGTGAGTGTCGCTTGGGGCCCTGCGCGCCTGTTCCTCGCTCGTACATTGTCGGAGGCAGCAGGGGACAATTATAAAGAAATTGCGTAGACGGTTGTATTGAGTGGGCCCCCATACGGTATTGATCGGGCCCCAGTTGATCTGGTTCCTGCCACGATCGGCAGCAGCTCGGCATAGGGGTCGACGCTGACGTTCAAGTCGATATTTTCCTGCCGCCGGAAACTCTGCACGCCTTCAGCCCCACGTCCGGGCCCACTGGCAGTGCCCAAGTGATAGTGTCTCCTGCGGGGCTCGCGGCTCAGGTGGGTGTGCAAATAGCTCAGTCTCGCGCCGTGTATAGCCGCCCGTCGCTCAGGGGCCGTCACCCACGCAACACCAGCTTGCGTGTGTCGGATCGGTGCCTCCCAGCCAACACTCTGTAATCAAAAGTAATGTACTTCTTTGTTTGCAGCCACTTCTTGTTGAGCTGGCGGGTGATTTGCTAGGAGTGTCATTCCCGACTTGCCACTCCCGGGAGTGGCCGGTCTTGGAACACGGCCCAGGAGGAGGTAATCTTGCCGCCACCGCAGATGGCGAGCAACTGGCAGCCGGAACTCAAGCGTACGTGGAGCGCAAGATGCGACAGCGCCGTTCGCGAAATCCTGCTGTCGCAGCGAGGCAAGGTCGCGGTTGCGACCGCGGGCGGGCTGCACCTGTATGACGGCCCTCCCGGCTTCGCTCTGCGCCACGAGCTGCTCGGCCAGACCGCGGGCGTAACCGCCGCTGCATTCGGCGCCAAGGGCGCGGACGTCGTCACGGGCGGCGCCGACGGGTTTTTGAAGTGGTGGCAGGTCGACAGCGGGGAGGAGCTGTGCTCGACCCAAATCCCACTCGACGAAAGGCAGCACCAGGAGCTTGCCGTCGGCGACGTCGCCTGCTCCAAGGCGGGGCTTGTTGCGGCCACCAGTGGCAGGTGCTTGACGTGGCAACCTCCGGTTCCCTCCAGCACTGCCTTGCAGTAACATCCTGTCGATGCTACCTCTCTCAGGGGCCCGTCGGCGCCCGGTGCCGCGCAGCTCCTTGCATGCTGCACGCATGGTGCTCGGCAATGACCTCTCCCACACATGCGACCGTTCCTGCGAACGAGCGCGCCGGGCTGCGCAACGGCTCTGCCCGCTACTTGGCACCCACTGCATGTAGGCTGCTGTGCATTTTCGGATCTGGGGGCGAGCACCTGCACACGCTCCGCGCCGGCGGCGACGGCGACGGCGCGTCGCCGCCGCTGCGCCACGCGACGTGGCTCGACGGCGAGAGCGTGGCGGCCGCGTGCGGGCCCGACGCCCTCGTGTGGCGCGTGGACGGGGAGGCGGCGGAGGCGGCGGGCGCCTTCGCAACCAACCCTGCCGCGGGGATAGAGCGGCTCGCGCTGTCACCTGACGGCCGCTACCTCGCAGCCGGATGCGCCAACCGCACGGTGAGGCGCGCGGGGGGCGTTGATCGAGCGATGCGCCGCCAAGCGCGGCGCCCTCTCGGGCCGCATGCGGTGACGCCTGCCTGAGACGCGTGCCCGGCAGAGAGCGTGGCCGAGGCCAGGTGGCACCGCTCGCAGGCCGCTTCTGCCCGCGTGCTGCGGCAGCTTCATGCCGTTCAATCCCCCTCATGGATGATGCAATGCAGGTCCAAGTGTGGGACACGCAGCAGGAGGCGCCAGACCCGCTGCTCGTGATCACAGAGGGCGTCGATGCGCCCCCGGCTGCGCTCTCGTGGGACGCCGCCGGCCAGCTGCTGGCAGCGGCAGTTGGCGGCGAGGCGCTGGTGTGGGACATATTGAGCGCCCAGGAGGGCCGGGCGGAGGGCAGCTGCGTGTGCGGCGGGTTTGAGCCGGGCGCGCGTGTCACCAGGGTCGCATTTCAGCCGAACGGCACCTTACTGGTGAGCATGGGGCCGGCAGGGGCGCCGCTCATGCCGCTGCTACCTCGGCTCCTTTCCCCGTCATGCAGGACCCGGTCGCGTTGATCGTGCCGTGGCTACCCGCACAGCAAGCTTGGGCACAGAAAAACCACATCTGGCTTCCTCGCCGCCATGCGTCCGTTGCCGCGTTCCCCCCATTGGTGCCCCTGCTCCCGCCGCCCCTGAATCTCCTCGAGCCAGGCCGTCGCGGCGGACGACGGCCAGTGCCTCGTGTTCGATTCCGCAGCCTTTGCACCCGGCGACGCCGCCCCAAACACAGCTACCCACGCGGCGAGCGGCCGCATCGGCGCTCCAGGCGGCGCCGCAGAGGCCGACGGCGGGGCCGGCAGCGGAGGCGGAGACGCCGGGGCGGTGACCGCGCTGACGTGGCACAGTACCGGCAGCCTGCTGCTGGGCACCGCCACAGGTGCGGCCGCCGGGGCCGTCGCGCGGCGATAGCGACATTCGGGTGGCGTGTGGCCGCGGCGTCACGGCGTGCGGGTTTGCTGGATTGGCAGCGAGGCCGCGTCTGCAGGGCCGCTGCTGTGGTTCGCTGCAGCGCAGCGCGCACCCACCCGCCACCACGCGCGCCGCCTCGCCCCGCGCGTGCGCCGCTGCCGCTGCCGCAGGGGCCGTCGGGGCACTCCAGCCGCTGCGCGCCGGCGTGCAGCGCGCCCCCAGCGCCCTTGAAGGGGACGGCGCGGTGCGGAGGCAGGAGTCGGTGGGTGGCGCTGCGCGGCGCCTTGCATGGATGTTGTTGATGCATGCTCTTCAGGGGCCACCCTGCGAATTGTGGTCATCGCTCAGCTGCATGGGGCCGCCGCCCGGGAGGTAACCTCGCCTCAAACCGCCCCGCAGGCCAAACGCCGCAGCGCCACGCAGCCATCGGCCGCAGCCGCGCTCGACGCGGCGCCGCAGCCGTCCGCACCCAGGGCAGCCCCCGTGCCAGCGCCCGCGGCGCCGCGGGCGGCGCCGGCGGGCTGGGGCGGCGAGCCCTTGCTGACTAATGGGATGGGGAGTCCTTCAACGCGCGGCTACGGGGAAGCTGCGCAGGGCGTGGGGGTCGTGGCGGCGGCCGGCGGCGCGGGCATGCGCGGCCGCGGCGGCCGCGGCATGCGTGGGGGCGGCGCCGGCGGCGCGGGGCGGTACGGGGCGCCCATGCAGCAGCAGTACGCGCCGCAGTACGTGAAGCGGGACGGCAGCGCGCCTGGCAGCGCGGCGCCTTACCACGACGGCGGGCCGCCCAAACCCGGCCTTTTGGTGGGGGTTGCGGCGCCGCCGCAGCAGCTGCACCAGCAGCACCAGCAGCAGCAGCTGCAGCTGCTGCCGGGCCAGGTGCAGGCGCAGCTGTCGCCTGAGCAGCAGGCGCAGCAGGCGCAGGCGATGCAGGCCGCGGTGGCGACGCAGTGGGGCATGGTGCCGGCGGCGATGGCGCCGCAGATGTGGCGGCAGATGCAGATGGGCTACGGGATGCAGCCGTACGGCCAGGTAGGGCAGGGG